TTATTTATTTATTTATTTATTTATTTATTTTGTTTTGAGACAGAGTCTGGCTAACTCACTAACCCTTGCGATCCTGCCTGAGTCTCCCAGAGTGCTGAGGCTACAAGTAGGAAGCTGTTAGGTTCTTGAATGACTTCTCCAAACTCACCAAGAGGCTTCAACCTAAACCTTGCTCCTCTCATGCCACTTCTGCATCTACAGGGGTCCTCAGTCCTGCTCCTGGGACCTCTGGGGATAGCAGTAACTCTGACCAATGTGCTTCCTCCATGACCTTTTGAAATTCCGCTGGATTCACTTTGTCTACCCTGTAAGTTAGGCTGGGAACTCTGGAGGCACGCAGAGATACCACAGGCTAGCACCTCAGATAACTCCACTCTGCCCTCCCCACACCCACACTCACCTCTAGACCCCTGGGAGCTCAGGCATCCAGGACCACAGTGCCCCCATCAGGAGCCGCTCCTTTCCTGGTAGTTGTCTTTAAGAACACCCAAGCTGAAATGAAAATTGGATCATTTCTATTGAAAAGAGTGTTACTTTTTGTTTTCTCAGAACGAAGATGGTCAGGCAGTAAAATTGTATTTCCCAAGGGACATAAAATGCATGTTTTCCAGGCATCCAACACCAGAACCAACACCAGCAACGCAAGAGAAACCCTGCCTCGAGGTCTGGGATTTTGACTTTTATAAGATTTCCTGTTTGGGAGGCATGTGTAAAGAACAGAATTTAACTGAAGGCTCCTCCATATTTTCTTACTTTGCAATATGTAAAATGATTCATAGGCACTTGATCATGTTTTTCTTTTTGCTCCTGAGTTTTCCATGGTGCAACTTATTCCTTTAATATTGAAACATTTTTTAGACAAATGTACTTCTGAGAAAGCCCACAGAGCTTCTATTATAACATGCATTGTTATTTGTGACAATGTAGATATTGATTTCTGAGTTTTGAAACTATTGCCAACTCAGTAAATGTTAATAGAGGGAAGATCTGCTAAGAGTTCTGATATCAATTCTTTAATTTTTCTCTCCCCCCCAAAAATTCCAATCCTATGTCATGCATCAGTGCTTGATCAGGAGAACCTAACGTACATATCTCAAGCTTGTAAAACTCTTCAGAAGGCCAGGGGAGTAAGGTGGAGTTGAGAAAATAAAAATTCAGCAATCATGGGAAGCCTTTACTAATGATCTCAATAGCTCCAATGTAGGTGAATCACAGGAGGACACACAGAAGTTGCTGTTAAACCTCATGTTTTATTCTTTTGTTATTATACAGGGACAGTAATGGCTATGTCATCTCAGTGTTCTAAATCTTGAGTAATAATTCACTTGCAGAATGTATCATAAGATTATAACTCAGCAGGTAGCAATTCCAAGGTGCATAGTTTCTAGATGCAAGAGAAAACAAAGGAGAAAACAGTGTTAAGCTGCCAATTAACAATCTATCACATTAATTATGAATGACATCATTATCTAGAAGTATTCAGATTTTTCTTGTCTTCATTCGCATAAAGTAATACCATTATTACATGCACAATTACCCATTCGTTTGACATTCAACAATATTTGTTGAGTGGTTGCTCTTCCCAGGGCTGAGGATACAGAGATGATCTGAGAAGATCACAGTCTAAGGGGAGGCCGTCATGTAAAGAAGTATTTTGGACCAGTGCAGTAGGTTCCTAATAGTGAATGGCTAAAGTATGTGGTGGCACAAATGAAGGCCCTTACTTTTCTGGAGACATCAACTCAGTTTTTATGTAGATCATATTTATTCTGGGAAGAGAAAGGAAGACATCCTAGAGAAACTAGGACGTGCAAAGGCACAGAGAAGTTACACATAGCATGGAATCTGAAGATCAAAAGAGCTCCCTCAGAGCGACTAATGAAGGAAAAGGGATTCATGTGGCTCCTGCTGCTGGGGGTCGTCAAGACTGTGTGGTAATCCAGTGCTTGGTTTCCATATACCACCTCCTAAGCAGACAAACATGCATACATGTCCCTTCAGTGGATACCTATCTGAGCGTTTCAGAGGGACTTGTTTATCAGTTTAACAAGAATTAGTCAGAAGACTAATGTATAATGTGACCTGTCCTAGTGTTGAACAGAACAGTGCTTCTGGCAGTGGCATTCCAGAAGGAGATACAGACCAGAATCAAATAAGTATATAAATCCATATTAGATATTTATCTGTGATAACTGCTACAAGAAAAAAATAGAGTGATGAGGCACATAGTCCTTGAAATATTCACATAGGTGACCACAGGCAAGACAGGCTCCTAAAAAGGTGCCATGAAGGGCCAGACCTAGTGTGAAATGGAGCCATTCGTGCAGAATGGTGAGGAAGGAACATTTCTGGCCAATGGAAAAAGTACAGATCATAAAAAGGGAGTGAAGCCTAATGTGGTCCAGGAACAGAAATGGACACATGTGATGAGTGCCACGAGGCCAAGGGAGAGGGATTTAAGACAAGCTAGGAGAGTTTCTGAGGACCAAATCATTCAGGATTTTGAGGATCAGGGTAAAGATTCCAGAGACTGCAGAAACATGGGAGGCCTATAAGGGGTTGTATATGGGAATATTATGGTATGATCTACTGTAGTTTTCAAATGTGTGTGTGTCAAAGAGCACTAACTATAAGCAAAAAAAAATTTAAAAATGCACTTCATCAAAATTGTAAAGATCTGCTTTTGAAAAACACCATTAAGAATATGAATTAGAGGGCTGAGGATGTAGCTCATTAGTAAAGCACTTGCTTAGCATATGCAAGAGGTTGGGTGTAATTGAAAGGGTGGGGGTAGAGAAAAGGGAACAGGTAAGCCATAGACTGGGAAAAATACCAGCAATACATACTTTTAATGAAGAACTCCTATCTAAAAATATATATATCCCCAAGATCCCAGTGAGCACATACATGCATACACACACACGCGCGCGCGCACACACACGCACAGCAGTGCTTTCAAATAAGGTATATGGGTGGCATCCAGGAAATGGAGATTAAAATCACAAATGAAGTGCAAGTAACACCCACCGGAAGAGCTGAGAAATGACAGATTCACCATACCCAGTTTTGGCAAGAATGTAAAGCAGCTGAAATTCTCATACATTGCTTAGTGTATAAGATAAGACCACTTTGAAAAACTCCTTGGCAATTTGTTACATAGTTCAGCATACATCTGCCCTTGACCCAGAAATCTCACTCACAGGTGTTTTTACCCATGAAAAATGGAGAGATGCCCATTGTGCAAGAATGTTCAACCTTATTCACAGTAGCTGTAGACAAGAGACTGTATTTTTTTAAAAAACGTAGTATACTCATAAATGGAATATTACTCAGTAATAAGAGAATGGACTACTAGCACCCACAATGATATGAGTGAATCTCAAATATAGGAGCCAAAGGTAAAAGAGTACATAGTGTACGAAGCCCAGGAATGAGCAAAGCCAGGGTAAGTGAAAGCCTGGGAAGGGAGAGGCGCTGATTGGAAGGAGCAAGAGGCAACATTTTTAGGGCAATGTAAGTATGATATTCTCTCCTTTGGCTCACAGATACAAAAGTTAGTACAGGTGTAAAAACTTATAAAACCCCATTGCTGAGATCTGAGCATTTGAATTATGACTTCTTCTTCAATAAAAAGCACACATTTTAAAAGAAATGCACATGTGCTCTGCCTGGAAATGGCGAGGTTTCATTGTAAAATGTGGCATAATGGAGAGAGATTTGGAGTCAGGAACACACGAGTTACAGTCCTGCTAACAGGTGGCAGAGCTGGGGCAGGTCACTTAGCTTCATTCAGTCTCCACCTCTGTGAATAGAAATACCCACTTCACAAGATAACCAGGGAGAGTAAATAACAAATAAAACATGGGTTATAAAAAGTTCTCAATGAAGCAGCCATTAAAAAATAACAACAACTTTTTAAGTAAACTGTAGCCCTAAAGGTCAAACTCAAAATATATTTTGTGGTTCCGCTTTGCAAATGATGTCATGTGCAATTTAAGGCAAAAAGTCAAAACTCAGAAAACAGGAAAACAAAAAGAAATCACTCTGCTCTATCGGAATGCCATGGCCACAGCTGGGAGCTATCTGTTCATTGTGATTATTATAGGGAGTTCTGGCACTTTCTGTCGTCTGTCATCATCGTGTCCTACCTCATCTTTCACCAAATGTCAGTAGGGGAAGGAAAGGCTATTAGGAATGGAGTCTAAAACAAAAAGCCGGGGTTCCTGGAGGTGGTTAACTTCTACTTTTTGAGAGAAAACTCTCATTTTTACCTTTCCAAATGTCTCCATGAAAATTACTTATGTAGTTTCAGGACTAACCTGAAGTTGTGATGAATTATTAATGGAAAAGTAAGAATGGCACTGAAATGCATCTTTAACTTCAGTGCATAATTTCTGGTCCCTGTTCCTTCTGCTAAAGTACCTCTGATTTCGTTGCCTGATCCACCTTTTGGAAATTGCCCTGGAGTATCCCCTGGAGAGGCCTTCCTCTCTTATCCTGTTGGGTCTCCTCAGAGAAGTCTCTGTGGGGTTTTTTCTGGAAGACCTGGTTGGCCTTCAGTAGCCCCTCTCTGAGGCTGTGGTCCAGAGACTCCATTCTGGCCTCCATTCCCACCAGTTATCACAAGTCCATTGACAGCACATAGATTTAAAGGACCCCTTTGCCTGTGGAATGGCTTTCTCTGTGTGTGCTCCTTGAAAATCCATACAGGCAGCTAACCTGAGGACAGCTCGTAGTGGTCTTTGGCCACATTCTCTCCAGCCCATCATTATTTCTTACTTGGGGGCTGTCATTTCATTTCATTTCTCCAGAGCCTTTCTGGGAACCTGGTAACTGGACACATTGTTCTGCCACCTGTGGACACTTGGGAACTCGTATTCAGAGACCCCGCTGTGTGACAACCAGTGGGCAGGAAGTGAGCACAGACCTCTGTGGTCACCTCCAGAAGCCGAGGGCCGGCTTCCAGCCCTGTAACATCCGGGACTGCCCTGCAAGGTATGTGAGGTCACTCTTATCTTATCAGTGCTAGCTTGTCACTAGTTTTTAAATATACAGCCTTTTGGGAATATAGCTTAATGGCATATAGTTCAGCACCTTCTCTGTACCTGGTCTTCCCCTAAATGCGTCATGCAGCCTGTGAGGGAGATGTTAGTTTCCTGTCTTACAGAAGGGAATACACCCCAACCCAGGCCCTCCAGTTCCAGGAGCCAGAATTTAAGCAGTCAGTCTGATTGCAGAACCTTTGCCCTTAATCATCACCCATTCTTGCTTCCTGAACTCAGCACTGCTGCTTCCTTATGCCCACAGTGAGGCTGAGGTCCTGAACTCCCTAGAGTTAACCCTGAGTAAATCTGTGGCTGTTTTGCTCAATGACTTATTTCTAATGCTTAGCACAATGCCTGTCTCATGATGTGCTCTCAATACTTGTGGAATGAATGAATGATCGATAGCATAGAACCTAATGGATAATTAACCAAATGGCAACAAAACTGACAGGCAAATGATTAACAAATAAAGAGGTGTTACAAACCTTTAATGTCACACAGCCCAGAGCCCTTGTGCAAAAACGACCACAGTACAGCCAGTGACCTGTGCCGTGGAGGACAGCAGGAAGCAGGGTTGCACTGGAAAGCCAAGCTGCTGCCGTGGGCTGTTCTCACAGGGCCATCAATGCGGCAGGCATCCTGACTGCCATGTCTCCCTCCGGTGCCCATTGTACAGACACTTCTCATTTGTGACCCAGCTATACTACTGGGACCGGGGCATTAAGTAAATTGGTTGCTAAATGAGGAATTGTGTATAGTATGTACATTACAACATTCGGAACAAAGAAATGGCCAAAAGGAACTCCAACTTGATGACTTTGCTTTTTTTTTCCTTTGAATGAGTTTATTGGTACATTTTAGGTATATGATACAGTTACATTCATTATTGGGATCTTGTACCTTTATGTGACAGGTGGTCTTGGTATTGGTTCTCATTTTTTCCCCTTGTCCCTGCCCTCCCTTCACCCCCTCCTCTCTTCCCCATTTACAAACACTTTATTTTCATTTTCTCATATTTTTCCCTTATTACCTTTCCCCTACCCTTCCCACTTTCCATACACCTTTAGCCCTTTTCTTCCCATTTCACAATGTTAGTTATCTCATGACTTTGCTTTTATTTGCATAATTCTTACATGCAGTACTGTAATGTACTATGACAAAACCTAAGACTGTGGCACTGTACTATAGAGTACAATCAGCAAAAATTACAGTACTATATAAACAAGATGTACTGTACCAAAAATATTGAGGCCCTATAAAGAGAACACACAGAACTGCACCAAAAAAAAATGGGTCATAAATCCAGTTATTAAGCAGATATGTCATTAAATGAGAAATATCTGTTTTAAGTATCATATCATCAAAATATTTCCATTAAAGTGATTTATTTTCCATAAGAACACATGCTCTCCAATAATCTTTCAAGTAAAATACAGTAACCACCAATAAGTCATCACATCAGCTGGTCTTAGCTGATACCTCTCATGTCAGAAAAGTCAGGGATAAAAATTATTCAGAAATTCTGGGTATCTCATAATACAGCAATGATGCAGAAAGTGCTCATCAGTAATTATGATTTCAAAACAAATCCAGATATTATCTTTAGCAAATCAGTGAAGCAGCTATTCCTGTGTTTCTTCATGCACCCTTTTCTGGAATTATAGCAGCTTCCATGAGTTCTTCAAGGTTATGTTCATTGCACAGTAGATACTGCTCGATGCTCTATTTTGAATATGCAGTTCTGGCTCATTAATGAAGGAGCTTCTGCAGGGCATTGCAAGGGACAATGAAAATAAGATATTGGGCTGAGGGTTTGGCTCAGTGGTTCTGCTGCCTGCTTCGCAAGTGCAAGGACCCGAGTTCGATACCTGATACCAAAAAAAAAAAGAAAAGAAAAGAAAGGAAGATATCAAAACCATGAACCTGCTGGACTTTGTAAAAATCACTGGAAATCCCAAATATTCTTGACAGTGAAACTGGTGTTGATGAGCCATTGCTCTATCCACCCCTGCAGTAAATACCTAGAAGGATAGAAAGACATACAAAGCATGTAGCAAAGGAACTTACTAGCCAGAAATATAAGACAAAAATTAGACACATAAAATAAACACAGAGCCAAGAATAACAGTGATAATTGAAATTCTCCTTTTTTTTTTTTTTTTTTTTTTTTTTTTTTTTACCGTGGAATCGAATTCAGGTCCTTGCACTTGCAAGGCAGGTGGCAGAACCACTGAGCTAAATCCCTGGCCCTAAGAGTGATAATTAACTGTTCAATTGTTGCCTATGGTTCAGAAGTGTTTCTATAACCCTTGAGAAAGTGTGCAAACTCATATGATATGATACTGTTCTACATATCAAATAGTTTCAAAGGTAGCATCACTTCTAAGGAATTTGTTATATCAGAGAATTTATCTCCAAATGAACCAGTTTTATTGTCACCTGAGGAACTGTTGGAAGCAAATAGTCCTTAAAAGTGAGCCTAATAAAAACAATGCACTGATAAACTTTTCTGACCTTTTGGCATAGTTGTTCTTCCTGTATCATATGCGATCAGTAGGTCTCATAATACTGTGCTCCAAATCATGCTCTTCTGCATCGAAACAGGAAAAATATGAGGTTGCTTAATATCCAAAAAATGTCAGGTAGCTTATTTTTCCCTGGTATCAAACATTATAGAAACAATACACATTTTGGAAACATTTGTCTTTTCGTGAATGCTGTGTTTATTTGCAACATGCTTCATGAATTGCCTAAACTACAATAGGATAGAGGCGTACTTCATTTCCTGACAAAGTTCTGTACCTGCAACTAGTTCATTAAATTAACTCATCACTAAATAAGGAATTGTATATAGTACGTGCATTACAATATTCAGAACAAAGAAATGGTAAAAAGAAACTCCAACTTGATGACTTCGGTTTTATTTGCATAACTCTTACATGCAGTACTATAATGTAGAACAGAACATAAAACTATAATACTGTACAGTACAGTGCAATCAGCAAAAGTTATAGTACTGCATAAACAAGATGTACTATACTAAACAGGCATTAAGGCTCTGTAAACAAGATGCACCGAACTATTGGGGGGGTATCATAAGTCCAAGTGGTAGCTTTTAAGTGCAACAGTTGTTAAACTTATAGGTGTTAAACAAGGGATATCTGTATTTACTGAGAGGAAGATCTCATGCTAGGAGCTACCAGGGACCCCTGAAACATTACCAGAAGCCTCTTCAGTAGGCTCCAGTCTCCTGCCCAGTGTACAATGCAGGCCTGAGGAAAAAAAACTAAAAGACAGAATTAAGAGAGACAGAAAGTGGGGTGCCAGGATGACCAATGGTGGTAATACCAACAAAGGCACTGGCAAGTCAAGCTACTCATTTTTATTAATAATCAGTTAGGGTAAAGGTAGGTTATGTGCCAGGGCAGGACTACATGCAAGGATACGCAGTTGTGTGGTTTCTATGGAAACTATTGTATGCAAGACTTGTGAAGGGCAAGACAAAGCATTCTCAAATTAGGAACAGAGAAGACAAAATATATGGTTGTAATTAGAACTTTGTCCTAGTTAAAAAGATTTTAGTTGTGGGAATAGAATTTGGGTGTGAGTTGCTCTGACCTTGGCACACAGGCTTTGGTTGGACCCATTTCTCAAAAGAAGCCAATTGTGGGATTAACTCTTCTCAGCCTGCACTGTTTACAGCCTGCTTTGAGCATAATCAATATTGTGGTCTCCCGCAAGAGTCACCTTTTGGAAAGCAGTAAGCTCATGCTACTGTAACCATGAGCAACCCAATTTGAGGAAACTGCTTTATGTCAGTTCTCAATTTTCACAGAATAGATAGGATACACATTGGGACATTCAATAGCAATTATGTGTATTAAATATTCTCAAGCTTTTTCACACCCCTAGAACTCATAGGGGCTTACATTTTCCTACCAACTAGAGACCATAGAGATCACTAGGCCCCCAGCTCCTTCCACATCACTGTTCTCAATATTTCTGTGCCATGACACCCTGTGATGGACTGGAGAAGCCTATCGATACTTCTTCAGACAAGGTTTTCAAATACATAAAATAAAACATGTGATTTACAAAGGAAGCTGATTATATTGAAATATACTTCTTGAAAAATTTTTAAACATATGCTATAATGAGGGTTGCCTCCTAACGGTAACAAAGTCTAGCTGCCTTGTAAAGGTACAAGATCCCAGTGATAAATGTAACTGTACTGTATACTTAAAAAGTACCAATAAACTCAATGAGAAAAAAATTGCATGAATATAAATGATGTTTTGAAATGCTTGCTATAATTGTAATGTGACATAGAAATGCCTTTAGTTTCCATAGGTAACAAAATCACAGGTACTGCAGTTGTGGTGCCATGGTTTTAACCATTAAAGGAAGTGCTGAAATTCCGTTAGTCTTAGTGACCTTGCATAACCATGGTCCTTGGTTAGATAGGTCTGCTCCACAGAACCCCGGCAACAGCTTGGACACCTTCAGTAACAAAGCATTCAACATCTCAGAGGTGTCCGCATCCAGTTTAGCCTCCTATTATCATCAAAGTTTGAACTTTAGGGCCAGATGAATCTAGTCCCATCCAAGCTCTATTATTAGTTTAGTTATGTGGCCATAGCCAATTTATTGCAAATTCTCTATAAAACTGGAAATAACACACAAATTAAATAACATGTGAGTATCTTATAGAACAGATAGCAGCACTTAAATGCTTTAGAAACATTTTCATCCTTAGGTTTCAGTGAATAGAAATCACTTTTTTGAAATTTCTACCTAATTTTGTGCTAGCTACACCCTCTGGGGCCATAAAAATGACTGTTCTCCCTAAATTGCAGATGGCTCTACCCCAGCCCTACACTGATTCTCTCCACATGGTGACTCTGTTGCTCCCCTGAGCAAAAGAATGTCTGAGAAGAGATAGGAATTACCTGTGCAGCTACCCCTTCCCACTGGGACAGGTGACAGCTCTGAAATAACCTTAGTGTTAGGCCAGCTCCTGCTTTGACAAGCCCATTCACAAAGTCCAGCACACCGGTCCTTACTAAGGCTCTATAGTCTTTATTCCTAGGTGGTTCACAAGTGTGTGGTCAGAGTGCTCTGTGTCTTGTGGGGAAGGATTCCACAGTCGGCAAGTGAAGTGCAAGCAGACAAAAGCCAGCGGCCCTGTGCAGGTGGTGTCTCCAAAGGCATGTGACCCTAAAGACCGGCCTCTGGGAAGGAAGCCATGCTCAGGTCATCCATGTGCTCAGTGGGTCATCGAACCAGGCCAGCAGGTAATATCATGGGTGGATAAGACTCTGCAATCATCCCCTTGTTTTCAATAAACTTTTTATGAGGGAGGGTGTCCTGATTGATCTCTGAAATGAATTACATCTCTGACCTCAAGGTCTGCATTTGGAAATGACAGTGTCTCTGTCTTCCAGTATGAAAGTGAACCAAGTTGGGTCCTTCAAATAAATGGGCCCAAATGCACAATAACACATACAGTAGTATACAATAACAAATACACAATAACAGAAATTCCATGATGAATCCATTAGGGCAGTAGGAATAAAAGCAGCCTTCCAAAAAAAAAAAGGAGGAATGTGAATGCTATCTGCACACAATCTCATAATCCAAGTCCTAAATGCTACCCTAAATAAAATTATTTTAATTAAAAGTGCTTGGGAATATAAACATGTACTATATGGAAAATAATCTGAAAAAATGCTTAAGAAAATAATTTTTTCATATATACAGACTCATAAAAACATACCACATTATTAAAACACATAAAGCAAATGTTAGGCAGATAAAAGACCTATTATATTCCTGCATGGAAAATGTCAGTATGAATAAATTGAACTATATCAAAACTGAAACTTTTATTTTGCAGAGGATGTCATCAAGAAAGTAAACAGATGACAGAATGGGAGAAAAAATTCAAATATATCCAAGAAGGAGCACATCTCTAAAATACATTCTTAAAACTATAAGTCAAAAAACCAAATAACCCAATTAAAAATATGAACAAAGGATCTGAATTATATTTCTTGATGAAACATATACAAATGACCAATAAGCCTGTAAAAAGATGCTTGCCATTAGTCATTGGGAAAATGAAAATCAAAACCACAGTGAGATACCACCGCACACCCACTAGGATGGGATTAGTTTAAAAAAAAAATAGTGGTGGAAGTCAGTGTTGATGTGGAGAAACCGAAACTTTCAGACAATGCTAGTGGGAAGTGTAAAATGGCACAGCCCCTCTGAAGAACTGTTGGACGGGCCTTCGAAAAGCGAAACATCAACTGCAATATGACCCAGCAATTCCATTCTGAGGTATAAATCCAAAAGAAATGAAAACATAAGTCCATACAAAAGCTTGTGCATAAATATTTGTAGCAGAATTTTTCATAATAGCCAAAAAGTAGAAAGGACACAAATAATAACCCACAATTATCAGTGGAGAAAGTGCTGATGGGTAGATAAACTGGAGTGTTATGTAGTGGAATACTATTTTGCCATTAAAAGGAAAAGAGTGCTGGTACATTGTACAGCATGGAGGAGCCTTGAGCACTATGGTAAGAGAAGAAAGACAGAACAAAGCACCTCATACTGCATCATTTCATGTATGTAGAGTGTCCAGAATAGGTAGATCATAGAGACAAAAAGTAGATTCATGGTCACCTAGCTTGGGGGAAAAGGCAGTAGAAGGATTTAGGGTAGGTGATGAAGGCTATTCTATTGCATTTCTTTGGGGGACAATATTAATGTTCTAAAATTGATTGTGGTAAGGCAACTCTGAAGACTATGAGATTGGGCAAATGGTGTTTTGCATGAATTATGCTCAATAAAGCTGTTAGTTGTAAAAAATGGAGAAAACTTGGTTATCGATAATAAGAAAAATAAGTTGAAGCAGAGACGAGACAGAACATACCCCAAATTCTGACCTGATAAAGAACTCATTGTAAAAGTAATGAAATGCAAATAAAACTATGATAATGGGGAAGACCTTTTCAAACATAAAACAAATTATATGGAAAGGTTACAGGCATTATGACTATGTAAAAATTGAAGAACTGCAAATCAAAGTTTAAAAACATTTTTCCCCATAATTGAACTCACTTTAGCACACAAGCCTCCATTTTCACTCTGAGCAGAAGAAAAACAAACTTGGCAATAACTTGTGGTTTTAAGCATAGTTATTTCCAAACTTAATTAAGCCCAGTTGATTTAAGATTAGCTCTGTCCTTTGCCCATCTCCCCAGATCTGGTCAAAGTTTTGGGGGAAATGGATGGAAAGAGAAAGGATGGGTGTCTTCCTGCCTCTGCAGAAGGGGCATCTGGGCTGCGGAGCTGGCCTCTGACCTCTCCCACTCCCTGGGACAGCAGTCCTCATACAGATGGCTATCCTACCGCCTAAGTGATTTTGTGCACACCGCATGTGTGGCCCACACTACGTTTCCTTCTGTTCCAGTGTCCTGAACGCTGCCTGGGCCGTATGGTGAGGATGCAGCAGCATCGCCACACAGCGTGCGGACACCGCAACAGCTCAGGCTCCGGCTGTGAGGATAGGAGGTACTGGGCCAACCCCGGGCAACCCGGGCTCCTCTGCCTCAGTCAGAGACCAAAGATGCCTGGAAAGGAAATTATTTGGTCCTACCACTTCTCATAATTGACAATTCCTACTGAATTACATTGTCTTTAGAGCTGTCCTCAGCAGTGCATGTTATTCTGAACTATTAGTCTATATGTAGTGATTATACTTACTTATTTGGATGTTAAATATAGAATGCAAGCATCCTAAAAGGGGAATGAGGGTATGAAAACAGGTTAAGATTCTTCTCTCTGTATAAAAAGTTGGTATGAAATATTTTGTTTAGTTTTACAGATTAAATCTTTCCAGAGTTCTCATTAACTATTTTATTCCCCTATTTTTAAATTGCTGTGATTAAGATGTTGGCACAGTGGTTTAGCTGAGAATAAAATAAACTTTTATCTTGCAAAGGGGCTTACACAGAGAGGAGTTGTTTTTGTCACATATGAAATGGGCAGGAAGGTGATGTGGGGAGAAGAGCTTTGTTTATGGGGTCATCTAGAGATGCAGTCTCTTCCTATCTGGCAGGTTCCCCACTCTGGAGAATGGTACCCTGCCAGCAGCCAGTGGGAGCACAGCCCAGAGAGCACACGAATTGGGGGGCTATGGTATTCTTTCATTCTCCTGTTATTTGACCTTGGAGTGCCTAACTGCCCTAATCCGCAAAATGGATATTTTCACCTGGGTGGCCTTACGGTGAGCATAGTGTCAGGGCCCAAGCATCCCCAGTGCTAGCTATGTTTCTCTCCTCCACATCCTGAGTGTTGCTGGAGAAAATGGGATGATCTTCACAGTTGGCTGAATGACCATTTTAATCCTGTAGGAAAGTTTGGCAGTGAGATTTAGCTGCATTTTGAATTCCCCCGGACACAATTCAGGCCAGAACTCTTCCTCTCCAGTGGAAAATGTTGGGAACAGCTGCCCTCATTCCCCACATCCAACCTCAGCTCCCAGTTTGCTGAGAAGATGGAGACCACACAAGATGGATACCCATCGTTCCAGATGTTTCCCTTTGCTTTTGCAAAGACATATTTACAACACAAATACCTACGAGGGGGTTGAGCTTTTTATTTTAACATGCCATATATATCTTTCTAGAATTTACTTTTTCTGCCTAAAAATATAGACTTCTTGACCTTCTTAGTTGATAAAGATTGACTTTATGTGTTTTTAATTGTTGTATTTAATATTCTGTTATTCCATGGCTGATGGACATTTGATTGTTTGATGTTTTTTTGCTATTACAAACAGATGCTGTAGTTAACATCCTGGAACATATATCTTTATGCACAAAAGAAAGTATTTTAATAGGGTAAATTTTTAGATAGGGAATTAAATTGATAAGCATGTTCCTTTGGATACCACCAAACTGCTGTCAAAATACTTTCACCATCAATATGTGAGAATTATTCCTCTTTTCATCAACATTATTAGATATACTTTCATTCATTCAAAAAAAATTTTACCAGTCTGATAAATGAGAAATCATATCTCATTGTAATTTGTACTTTTCTGATTACTTTTTATATTAGATATATTTTGACTTATATTTTTTCTTGAATCCATCTTCATTTTTTTCATTTTTCCATTGTTACCCTTAGCCAGACTACCTGGCCATCTCACCTGGTCACAGCTGCAGGCACCTAGCTGGGCTCCCTCCACTCACCCATGCTTGTTTCCAACCCACCTTCTATACTGCAACTAAACAAGTGTTGTAGGATACAAATCTGATCATACCACCAACTCCCTGCTGGATTGAAATCATTTTAGAGGCTTTGGTTGTTCCTAAGAAGACAGGCCAAAATCTTCCACATGGACTGTGAAATACCACATGCTCAAACCCTGCTTCCCTTCACAGCCTCACCCTAACCTCAGTCCTTCTGTCTTTGTGTTCCAGCCCCACTATCCTTTTAGTTCCTTGGACTGAATAGAAATGAGAAACAGAGAAAAACTAGTAGAAACAGCTGCCATTTTTACATTCGTGCTTCACATAGAGAAACATGGGCCCTGGCTGTGTGCATGGCGTGGTGTCCTGGCTGTGGCCCACTTACCCTGACCAGGATAAAGTGGCACCCTCTGTTGGGCCAGCTGTGCATTCCCTTACCACATCCCAAAGGATCCACCTCTGAGCTGACCTGGGCTCCAATTTCTGTGCTTGTCCAAAGCCCCCCGTGCAACTTGATGGCTCCCTTTGTACTTAGGATGGTCTTGTCCACCATCAAAGGAGAAGATTTGGTTAGCTAAGGCCCTGTGTGCTGAAAATGATGTCAATTTAGAATGACTTATGCAAAAAGGGCAAGGGACTTATGAGTAAGACAAGACCACACAATACTTGTCTACAACAATTTGGTGTCCTCTTAAATATATTCTTTGAGTATTTTTTGAACATTTGTTCAACATTTTTCAGTAGAAAGGCTGATCTCCACTTAGGGAGATCGCTGATGAGTATTCAGTCTTTGTTGTTCAGAGTGACAACGTTAGGCCCCTAAGATTCAGGCCCACTGGGGAAAACAGAAGCAGTCAACAGTTCAACTCTTCCCTAACCCCATCTCTAAATCTTATGAACAGTTTGGTGGACCAGTAGTTTGGTAAACTCTTTGGTAGAGTCTCCCTCTGCTGGCTAATGTCAGTATTGCTTCCCATTCTGTGTAATACTGCCATACTTTTGCTTAGAGAAGTTCAGGATGTCATAATTTCAACATTCTTATAGATTTATGTGCTCTTCTAAGGAGCCTTTAATAGGAGTACAAAAATATCTCAAAGAATCCAAGGAAGAAGGAAGTCAGCTCTGAGGAAAGACTATAACCAAAAAATGAAAAGGCACTGTTTTTGTTTTTGTTTTCTCCTCTCATCTATGCTGTTGTATATGGCTTTTATTTAGTCTATTTATGAAAGTTCATTTTCTTTATCTATCTGGCCGAGCTTCAAGTTTATATATCTTGTGCCAGCAACTTCTAGATTCCTAAGGACGATTACTGAACCCGCTCAAGCTGGGGCCCTTTTGCCCTCAGCCTTGGGGATGGAGAGACATTCTCACTCACACTGAGACATCTTCCAGGGTCCCTTCCCTAGGGGACAGAACAGACATGCCAAATTGGGCCCACCTAGCTGCCTATAGTCTCCAGGGTGAACATCTGCTTAAAATTCAGACTAATGAGTTTCTGGTCTGCTGGAGAAGTCAAGGGAGTCAGAGGCATTCTGCTTCCCAACAAGTTCCTGGTTACAAGTCTGGGTGTGGCCTAATGTTCATGCGAAGAGACAAAATCCCTTACTTACAATTGCTACTCATCCGGGAGGGTGATTCAAGTGCTTATAAAAACAGAAAATCTAAGGCTTGTTAACAAAATTTGAAGTGGTTTATTGGGGACATGATAGGAAGCGCTTCTCCTTGCGGCCTAAATTGATCTGTTCCAATTTAGGAGAGACTATTTTTGATGTGTGTGTGTGGGGGGGTGGCCTGGTGTTGGAAGTTGGTGGAAACACATGGTTTGTATCCCAGGCCTTGCTTGCCGGGGCATATCTAGGTAGGGACTCTTAGTCCCAGGGATGGGGGACACTGTCTCTGTTATTCTAGATCATATTGCACAGAAGCAAGGGATGGCTCTGTTTTAATTGGAATTGTTTGAAGAGAGAAGCCCTACCTTGCCATCAGTGGGGGAGGAAAGCCCTTCCCAGAGGCAGTTCCACCTCGTGACTTGATGTGAATGCTCACCTTGGCTGCTGTCTTAGTGGCAGTTTGGCCACTCATCAGTTCCCACCATATGTTTGGAACTTTATTCAGCATCGGGGATATATTTCACTCATTTCATTTCCTCAGGCCATAAACAGCCTTAAATGTGTACTGGGTTAATTTTTTTAAAAAAATAGGCCCTCCCCCTTCTCCTTCTATCGTATATTTGTGGCAGCTTCCCGAACCTCCTTATTATATCTAGGGCAACTTGGGTCTACTGTGTGGCCATTTTGTTGGCTTTAAATTAGATGTATTCTGAAGTCATACAGTTATCTTTATCATGGTCATGATTAGACCACTACTGTGGATAGTGCCCATCAGTGTCCTGATGAGTAGGCTCCTAACTGTCAAGCTTTTGAACCCAGAATACACAGTAGGACAAAAGCCTTTCCCCGGCCTCTCCTCGCTCACGCTCTGTTTCTGTTCCAGATCTGCCCCCCGGAGGAACTGTACATCCAAGGCCTGTGAGGTGTGCTGGCGCACAGGGCCCTGGAGGCCTTGTACGGCAGCCTGTGGCCGGGGCTTCCAGTCTCGGAAGGTGGACTGTGTCCACACACGGAGCTGCAAGCCTGTGGCCGACAATCACTGTGTGCAGAGAAAGAAACCAACTTCATGGCGGCACTGCCGCGGGCCTTCCTGCAATAGTATGTACCCTCTCAGGTACCTCCATTGGCCTGGCCTTCCTCCTCAGTCGTGTCAGAAGGGCATTTAGAGAGCATGTGGCAGCCCGCGACAACAGATTAGTGCTTTCATGTTCCCTAGAGAAGGACCAGCTGAATCAGTAGGGCTCCTCTCCTCCCTTCTGAGCCTGGCTGTCTCTTCTGTGGAGCCAGAGAGGCAACAGGTTGGCTCAGGAACTGTGCACGTATGCAGAAGTTATAGGGTGGCCAAAGTATATGGTGAATGTTTACATCTTTTAAAAGGTATTACAGTAAAAGACACATTGCCATGAATCCCTTTCAGAACACTTCCCCTTTGCTTTGAGCACACTAAGCCATCTTTCTTGCCATTTTCCAAAGCATTCTGGAAGCCCTCTTCCTGAGTGTCAAACAAACGGTGATGCAGCTGGCAAGTGCCCTCCAGTGGAAAGGCAGGACTGTAAAACCTTTGAGGTGAGTCCTCATCCACCGCATCCACCAGATCTGGCACCACGTGATTTCTGGCTCTTTTCCAAAGTCACAATGACCATGAGACACAAATGTTCTGAATCAATGCAGGACATTAAAGTAGCTATGAAAGCAAAACTAAAGACGTCCTCAAAAGAGACTTAGAGGATTTCCAGAATTACCTGAGCAAGTGGTGAGCACAATGGATACGTGTGTTCAAAATGAAGGGGAGTATTTTGAGGGAGGATAACAGCAATGTGTCTTTTACAATAACACATTTTTAAAATGTAAGCACTCATAGTATTCTTGTATCACACCCCTCACGTGGCAAGTTTAAGTGCATGTTCCTTTTCTAGAGAGCAGATCTGTAGCTTTGGGATGGACTCCACTCATGGCCCAGGGCTCCATTAAGCCTGCAAATCCTCAGTGCTGAGCTGAGAGGAGCCCTGTGGCTAGAGGGGCTGTGAGGTCCTAGAGCTCTGAGAGGCCCCTTGACTGTGCCAGAGATGAGCACTTCTGACTTCAGTGCCACACCCCTAACCCAGGCTGGTTTCTTCTCTTCATTCCTTATACTCATTTTATAACTTTTTGTTTAAATCAGATGACTTTTTTACTAGTACTCTAATGAACCACAAGTTAAGGATTCATTATTCTTCTTTTTGCAGGAGACTGCACAGACACAACTCACTACTGTACATTCGTGAAGCACCTTAACTTGTGTTCCCTGGACCTCCACAAACAAAGGTGCTGCCACTCATGCCAGGAAGGGTAAACCTTTGCAGGGCTTGTGATGCTGCTCCAATGAGAAAGGAACAGTAGAGTTCTCATACCCATGTCTCTGCTTGCAAAACACGTATTTCCTGAACACTGTAGATTCCATGATGAAACCAAGGTTGATAAGTAAACTTTACTCAGTAAAGTTCTCTGCTTGCAAAACACGTATTTCCTGAACACTGTAGATTCCATGATGAAACCAAGGTTGATACAAAACACCACTGTTAAAATTTTGTAAGTTGAAATTTTCCCATGGTTGGTTTTTAACTCAATTCTTATAAATGATGTATTCTGGGATTCACAAGAACACCATAGCACATGAGCCAGCACACTTGGGACTCTTCCTGTGCACCTGACAGGGAAACTACCAAGATTAAGATTGCTTCAGCAGGAGCTGTGACTTTCGGCCTAGCACAGAGTAGTGCATCCTGAAGGCTTGGGGAACACAGTAACTGCTGACTCCCTCTTCTTTTGCACTGCACAGTTTTGACAAGGTTATAAAGTATTTAAATTTTTTAGGTTCGGGCCAGTAGTTGTTCGGATATTGGTGCTCCTGGTGTTTTCATAGATCCTTTAGTCTATGAAAGAAAGAAATTCTCTGGACACATATATAACAACAGTGGGCCCAAGAGGTCCCAAGGGGGTGGCATCTGATCCTTTTTCTTATGACAATCGTGGAAGGAAACACAGTCATTGTTGCTGTTGCCTTCACAAGTACAGAAATCTATTCATGACCAAACGAGGCATCTTGAAAATCAAGAAGAGGGCAGTTCACCTTTTCTATTGTTTTTGAAGTACATTGAAAGTTTTCTTCTAAGAGCTGTGAATGAAACTTTTTCTAAGCACTATTCTATTGCACAAAATGGTAATTCAAAGCCTTATTAGACCTAATTTATGTATGAAATAGTATTCCTGAGAATTTTTATTTTGGAAAGTTTATAAGAAAGTGATCTAAATAAGAAACATGGTAGTTGAGAAAGAATTGTTTATCGTAAGTAATTCTTTGGATTTGAGCTGATTCTTCAATAGATCCAAAATAAATTTGGGTTGGATGGAAGTGACACTTTGGGGACCAAGAGCTAGAGTTAGGGGTTGGGTTAGACCTTGGGGAAAATAATTTAAAAACTAATTGGGGACTAGTTTTAGTTTCAGATTAGAGCTAAAATTAGGTTAGTAAGAAGGGAAGTTAAGTTGGCGCTAAGGCTAGAGTTGGCTTTTGGGGTTAGGGTGCAGGTCGGGTTAAGACAGAGCTGGGTGGGGTTCAGATTGGGGCCAAGGCTGGTGTTAGTTATGAGGTCAAGGTGGAGGTGAAATCTGGGTGAATGTTGCAGCTGATGTAGGTTCAGACCAGCACTGAACTGTAAGCTCTACAGCTGGTTTGGTTATGAGGACCTTTTCCTGGCATTTTACTCGTTGTGGCTTTAGAAGGCACACGTCCCCAAGTAAATGGTCACACTTTTTCATTCAGTGTCCCGGCTGCCTGCACACTACCACCTACAGTCTGCTGGCAGCCACATCTCTGAGGCAGGCGTGCTGGACCTGTCACTAAGTGAACCAAGCACCCTGGCTTTGAGCACCGCGTCTCTTCTGTTCTGACTTCAGCCTCACCGCACTGGGATAAGCACTACTGTATGTAGAGGGCTTGGTGATGGGGCAGTGGACGTGGGAGGGAGGAGAACACACCAGCCCGTGAGTTGTTGGTCATCATATTTGATTGTGAAAAGTTATTAAATTAAAAGAAAGATCATTTGTAAAATACTCTGTATATATTTATTATATGACAAAGGTGCAATATTTTATTTTGTACAGTATGTAATAAAAACATGGGACATATATTTTTCTTACTAACAAAATTTCTTATTAAATTGCTTTGCCTTTGTATTTAAAAATTAAAAATTACTGTTTTTAATTTACTATTTTACTTTAGTTATCATCCTGGTGACATCCCTGTATACTGTATTTTACTACTGTTTTTTATAATGAGTTGAAGCTTCTCTTTTATGATTCTTAAGTAATTCAGAAATAAATTTACTTTGATATTCAGTGGCATCCTTATAAATGTGGGTGGCTTATTTTTGTTGTGGTTTTGGTAGCTGTGGATGCTGCCATCCTTGCTGTTGTTCCAGTGGGAACCCGAATAAATCTGTTGCCTGGGACTGTGCTTCAGAGTGTGGGTTATAAGATCCAGAACAGATCCCACAAAAATCCTCTCTAGTGCCATCTTCCTAATATTTACATCTTTGAGTTGTATTTAAAAGAATGTCATTCATAGATAAGTGGATGCACCTTGAGACCATACTCAAGTGAAATAAATCAGACACAAATGTGTAAATACTGCCTCATTTCTCTGGTATGAGAACTGAAAATGTAAATGAGGACCAAAATGTATAATAGATATCATGAAATAGGAAGAAAATGTTCAAAAGGGAAGGGGAACTACGGAGGGGGGCAAGGGAAAGGAAGGAAGGGAAAGAAATAATGAGAAAAGGAAAAAAAGAAAACAAAGCTTTTGTGAATAAGGAAGGGTGAAGGGGTTAAAGAGAAGGCAGGGGAATGGAAAAAAATAAGACCCAAGATATATCATGTACAGGTACAAATTCCCTGTGATGAATGTGATCATGATCCATAACTAAATTGTACCAATAAGCTAATTAATTTTTTAAAAACGAGCAGAAGAGGTTGAAAGAAGTCCCAAACAGCCTGAAGGAGGTTGTAGGGAAAGTAAGAGGCACAATACACTTTATTTTTTATAGTAGTTTTTTTGGTTCGTTGCAAAAATGAGCAAAAGGTAAAATATTTCCCATCTATGTCTTGCTCTAACACATGTATGACCATGACCTCACCGTTATCAACAGCTTCACCAGGGTTTTATGTTTGTTACAGTTGATGAACTTACATTAGCATCATAACCAAAGTCCATAGTTTCTATTGGTCTTTTGAATTCTGTGGGTTTGGACAAATGTCTAATAACAAGTCTCCATTGCTATACTGTCAGGCAGAGTTGCTTTTACTGCCCTAAAAAAAAAAAAATCCTCCTTGCTCTCACTGTTCCTTTCTCCACCACTTTGAGTTGATTTTGGGAAAGGTATGTGGTCTGTGTCTAGCTTTTTTTTAAAAAATATTGTTTGTCCAGTTGTTCCATCACCATGTGTTGAAAAGATTCTCTTTGTTCCATTGTGGTTCTTTTGCTTTTTATCAAACATTAGTTGGCTATATTCCTGTGTGCTTATGTCCAAGTTGTCTAATTTGCCCTACTATTTTCTGTTGTTTTGCCAGTACCATCTTGATTACTGTGGTTTTAGTAAGTCTTTAGGTTGGGTAGTGTTATCCCGTAACTTTGTTCTTTCCTTTCAATATTGTGTTGACATTTTGGGTCTTTTGCATCTCTTCATTAATTCTAAAATTATTTTGTCAATAGCCATTTAAAAACTTGCTAAGATTTTGATGGTGGGTTGCAGGGAACTTATTGGTCAAGTTAGAAAAATTGACATTTTTGAGTTTTCCTGTGCCATGAACACAACATTATCACTTCATTCCTTTAGTTGCTCTTTGATTTCTTTCATCAGATATTTGTACTTTTCTCATATAATTATTATACCTATTTTATTAAATTTAAACGTGTTTTATTTGGGGTAGTGCTAATGTAAATAATATTGTTTTTAATTTCAATTTCCATTTGTTCATTGGTACTATATAGCAATTGACTTTTGTTTTGGTTGTGAGGAGGGTGGATTGAACCCAGCACCTTGCCTATGCTAGTCAAGTTCTCTACCTCTAAACTATGCCCCCAGCTCAGCAATTGGCTTTTGTATATTAAACTTTGTAGGCAACATTGCTATAATCACATTTTAGTTCCAGGGTTTTTTTAAAATTGGTTCTTTTGTATTTTCTCTGTAGGTGATGAGTGAACAAAATTGTATTTTTTCCTTCCCAATCTCACCTTTTTATTTGCTTTTCTTATCACATTTGCCTGGGCTTCTAGTATAATGTTGGACATGAGTGATGAAAAGGGGATCTTGCCTAGTTTCCCGGTCAAGTGGGGAATTTTTGGATTTCTCATCATTCCACATGATGTTAATTGTAGAGGTTCCGTGGATAATACCAAGTTGAGGAACTTTCTCTCTGTTCCTAGTTTATTGAAAGCTTTTATCATGCACGCATGTTGGATTTTGGCAAATGCTTTTTCTGTTTCCCTTGATATGATCATGTTATTTTTCTTTTCTAGCCTGTTGATGTGATTAATTACATTAATTGGTATTTTGAATGATCAATCGGGCTTGCATAGCTGGGGTAAATCACATGTAATCATAGTATATACTTCTTTTTCTAGACTGTTGGATTCAAGTTGCTCATGCTTTGTTGAGGATTTTTGCATCTATGCTCAAAAAATACTAGTATGCAGTTTTCTTCAACTATGTTTGTGTGGTCATAGTATCACAGTGACACTGGCTTCTTAGAATGAGTTTGGCTGTATTACCATAAGTACGTGGAAGTGTGTTATCCTTTGAAAGAGTCTGCTGAGAATTGGTGTCATTTCTTCCTTAAATGTTTGATATAATTAACCAGTAAGCATTTAGGTGCCTGTGCTTTCTGTTTTTTAATATTATCAATTATTGATTCAATTTCTTTAACAGACACAGCTATTCGGATTATCTATTTCTTTTTGTGTCTGAGTTTTGGCAGATTGCTCCTTTTTGCTTGCATGGAGAGGTTGGATGTAATTCTTGTCTTTTTTCCTTGTTATGATTTAGATCTAAAATGTCCCCTTAAGACCAGATATGATGGTGTATACCTGTAATCCCAGCACTCAGGAGGCTTAGGCAAGATGACCACTGTGAGTTGAGCAACTTTCCTCCACCATGCCCTGAAACCAGCCAACCTTTAACTGAGCCCTTGGAAATCATGAGCCAAAATAAACTTGTCCTCCTTTAAGTTCTGACTGCTGGGTATTTGGTGCCAGCAATGAAAATATGACTAATACACTCCACTCCTCTAATAGGTAAGTTTTTTTTTTTTTTATTCCTTTCAGGATTTTTTCTTTATATTTGATTTGCTTTTTCTACAGCTTGAAAATGTATATAAAATGATATATGATATATTTAGTGTTTGCATATTTGTTTTCTGTTTTTGTACTTATTCTGCTTGGTATTCTCCAAGTTTCTGGGTTTTGATGTCTCACATAAATTTTAGGAATCAATCCCACCCCCCATTCCCATTATGTATATACTGCATCTTTTGTAGTTTTCTCACAGTTCTTGGATATTGTTTCTTTTCATACTTTATCCTCTTCATTTTTGAGTTTTGGTGATTTCCATGAGATGTTCTCAGACTCAGAGACTTCCTCAGGTGAATCCAGTTTACTAATGAGCCCATCAAAACCATCCTTTGTTTTTGCTACAGTGGTCTCTCATTTCTAGCGTCTCTGTCCTGTTCCTAGAATTTCCATCTCTGCTTAAATTGTCTGGCTGTTTTGCATGCTATCTACTTTATCCATTAGAACCCTTAGCATAGTAATCAGTTATTTTAAATTATAGTAAATCCCCAACTTATGAACATTTGAATTGTGTACTTTCAAATACAGTTGGACTTTGCGTTACAGCATTCCTAGATGCAAACCACAGAAGTAGCTCACTTGTCCACCAGATATTATTGCAGTTGTGCTACTGTGTGCTTACTGTTCAGTGTGATCATGTACAGTAGGACAGGGCTCAGTCAGAGCGCACAATGGCCAGAAGCAAGAAAAGCATGGTAATGTGGAGGGGGCTGCTAGGAAGAGCAAAGCAATATGTACTGTGTATCTGTGTCAAAAGTGTAGAAAACTCACTTTGTCAGACTTATGAACCAGTCCAACAACTCGACAAATGTTCTTCCAGAATAGAACTCGTTTTTAAGTTGGGGACTTCCAATATCCTTGCCATGTCTAGTTTGGATGTTTGCTTTGTCTTTTCAATTGTATTTTTTGCCCTTTCATGAGTCTTGAAGTTTGTTTTTGATAGTCAGACCTGCTGTGCCAGGTAAAAATTGAACTGCTACAAGTAGGCCTTTCGTAGTGTGATGGGGAGGCATAGGGAAAGGGGAAGGATTCTATAACCTCATGATTAGGTTTCAGTCTTCTAGTGAGCCTATGCATCTGCACTGCAAATTTCAAAAAGTGTTTCTGAGTTTTTCTTCTCTTAGGATAGGTCAAGGATGGCTAGGCTGGGCTCCCTCATTGAAGCTAGGGTGGACTAGAGTTGACCCATGATCTCAGTCAGATTTTGGTAATTACAATTATCCCAGCAAATTAAGTTCTGTTTAACCAGCTTCCTGAGGGTAGGGCTTGAGGAGAAGCGCAGAATATTGTGGTATATTTTAAGATGGTTGCTTCCCCCACCCTGCTGCAAGTTTGGGAGAGATTTTCTCTTTCACTGTGGGAACCTGGTCAAGCTCCTGAAAATATGGTGGGTGATGTTTCCCATGACTGGGTCCCCTAGGGATTGGAATGCTCAGACTTGTCCATGTGAGACTCCAGAAACTTGTCAATTAGACTTCAGGTTTTCCAACCTCCCATGATTCCTTTGGAGTTCTCTCAAGTGCAGTAAGCCATGGCTGTCTGTAGTATCCCTCCCATCCAGGAGATGGTGCCATTCCCTGTGTTCTCTCCTGTCTTCTGGATCCAGAAAGAGTTGCTGATATTTTATTTAGTCTGTTTCGCTTTTTTGATCTTTTAGGATAGAGTGGTGACTTCTAAATTCTTACTTGCAAAACTTGAAACTGAATGGTACTCTTATTTGGG